TGCCTTGTGGCTGAGCAGAGCTCCCCCATGTGGGAGCACACTGACCACCAGAGAGCAGCTCCTGCATTGAGTGTCTGCCCCCTGGTGGTCAGTGTGTGTCATAGTGACCAGTCATTCCCAGTCTTTCTGCTGTTAGGGTCAGTTTGCATATTACCCTTTTACTATATAGGATAGAGGCCTGGTGCACGGGTGGGGGCTGGCTGGTTTGCCCTGAAGGGTGTCCCGGATCAGGGTGGGGGTCCCGCTTGGGTGCCTGGCCAGCTTGGATGAGGGGCTGATGGCTGTTTGCAGCTGGTCACACCCCCTTCAGGGTGGGGGTCCCCACTGGTGTGCCGGGCCAGCCTGGATGAGGGGCTGATGGCTGTTTTCAGGCTGGCCTCACCCCCTTTAGGGTGGGGGTCTCCTCTGGGGTGCCTGGCCAGTCTGGGTGAAGGGCTGAGGGCCATTTTCAGGCTGGCCGGCGACTGAAGCTCCCAGCCTCTCCTTTTTTTTCTTTTTTTTTTATTCTGGGATTTATTTACCTTCTATAATTGAAACTTTGTTGCCGTCACTGGAGCTGAGAGACGGCTCCTGCTCGGCCTGCTGAAATCAGGTATCTGGGGTCTGTTTAACTTCTATAATTGAAACTTTGTTGCTTTCGGAGCTCAGAGCCGGGCCGCGGCAGGCGAGGAACCTTGGCTTCCTCCATCACTGGAGCAAGCAAGCCTCCTGCTCGCTTCAGCTGCGTGGCTGCCGGCCGCCATCTTTGTTGGTGGTAAATTTGCATATCGCCCTGATTAGCCAATGGGAAGCATAGTGAAGGTAGGGTCAATTACCCTTTTTGTCTTTTATTAGATAGGATATATATATATATATGTATATACACACACACACACACACACACACACATATATATATATATATATTACAAATACATCCTTTTTATTCAATTTTAGAAAAGTAGGTTTTGAGGCTCTAGCTCTCTGACCAATATGGTATAATGAAAAAAAGCACTGAACCTGGCATTTTCCACTAATTCAACAAACCATCTATTAACACATTGCGTACCGCATAGAAATCTCTAAGACATACGCCAGGGACTGCACGTTTTTGGGCAAACTGCACGTTATTTAAATCATCATAATGCACTTTAGGTGTTGTTTTTCAATAATTATAACATTTTTATTTACAAAAACAATTAAACAATTAAAGTTCCTAGTACTTTTTTAACATATGGTACTGCGTAAAACATTTTCCTCTATGAAGAGGGACCAAACAAAATTTACATAAGTATTTAGATTTGCTCCTTTTTCCATGGGCGTGAAAAACGAGAACACTCGTGAGTGGTCCTTAACAGATGGCACGCGAAACACGAGAAAACTCCTGAGGGGTACGAAATGTGTTAATTAACCATCTATGTCCCAAGCTGAGATATGGTTGCTGAAAATACAAAAATGTATAATACATGCTTAGGGAAGGAAACAGAGAAATAACAAGTTAATATAATACAATGAGATATATACTACAACAGAAATAATGTATAAAATACTAAGGTTTCTTATAGAATAAATAATTTCAGTTGGAGAAGTAAAAAGTGTATTAATTAAATGTTGGTGCCTTACAATATGAAATTACAATATAAAATGGTGATTTAAAAACTAATTCTACAAAGTACAAATCTTAATGAACCAGAATCCTTAGAAAAAGGAGTATTATAATTAAATTTTATTGTCAGTTTGTCTTAATTCTTAGGTATCACAAGCATGGTTTAGTTTAACTCTTCTTAAATGGTTTGCTTTTTTACGCATAAAATCATCATCTGAGTGTGGCCAGTGTGGCTCAGTGGCCGAGCGTCAACCTATGAACTAGGAGGTCACAGTTCGATTCCTACTCAGGGCACATGCCTGGGTTGTGGACTCGATCCCCATTGTGGGGCATGTAGGAAGCAGCCGGTCAACAATTCTCTCTCATCATTGATGTTTCTGTCTCTTTCTCTCCTCTCCCTTCCTCTCTGAAATCAATAAAAAAATATTTTTTAAAAAAATCATCATCTGAGTCTGATGGTCATTAAGACAAAAACTTTATTATTTGCTAGTAAGCTTCTACAAAGGTGTGTCATTCATTGTTTGAACAACCAAAAATCTTCTTTAAACTTTAGCAAAGTGAGTTTTGTTTTGAGTTTCATTTATTCCACTGATTCTTTGCAACTTTCACTTGTAACATCTATCACTGAAAATGTACAAGTAACTAGGGTTCCAGTGAAACAAAATTCTACCAAATTTCTTAAAAGGAGTAAAGTAGTAAGACTAACTCTATATAGAGCCCTGCTCACAGATAATGTTACAGTAACATTACATTAAATTTCACTCCACTTACCTACCGAGGGCCTGATTTAAGGCCCTGTATGCTTGAATTTCATACCATTGACGACCAGGTAAAAGACCTCTCAATTTTGAATGCTGGTCATTATATTGGCGCTTTAGTTCAACCTAATAATTTAAAAATATATTAAAATACAGTAGGTAATTAAAGCTCATTTAAAAAATCATATTAACTTCTAACATTTCAAACATCATTTTAGTAGGGTAGAGAGATTTTGTTTTTCAGTGCTAAATTTGTTTCAATTCATTTAAGACATTTATTTTTTTTTAATTTTTTTATTGCTTAAAGTATTACATAGGGTATTACATATGTGTCCTTTTTTCATTTAAGACATTTAAAAAAAATTTTACTTTTTAAATTGAATTTATTGGGGTTACATTGGTTAATAAAATTTATATAGATTTCAGGTGTACAATTCTATAATACATCATCTGTTTATTACATTGTGTTCACCACCCAAGTCATCTATTCATCCTTACATTCCCCAAGTTCCTACATGTACATAATAAATTCCATGTGATATCAATTGCATTGAGAAATAATGCACATACAATAAAATTCACAAGCTTCCAATGTACATGGAGACAAGTTTTGATAAATGTATAGTCATATAATCATAATCAGAATGTAGAATATTTTCAGCACCCCAAAACTTCCCTCCTATCCCTTTTTCAGTTAATCTCCTTCACTACTGACCCTATTAACCAATGATCTGCTGTTATGTCTTTTCTAGAATTCCATGTAAATGTCATAGAGTATGTAATTGTGCCTGTCTTTTTCATTTAGCATAATGATTTTGGAATTCATTCATCAGTTCATTCTTTTATGTTTATCTAGTCTGATAATCTCTGCTTTTTAATTAGAATGTTTAGACCACTCACATTTAAAGGGTTATTGCTACAATTTGGCTTAAATCTACAGCAGCAGAATACACATTCTTCTCAAGTGCACATGGAACATTTTCCAGGACAATATATGTTGGGTCACAAAATTAGTCTTAAGATCTTTAAGACTGAAATCATATCAAGTATCCTTTTCAACCACAAGAGCATGAAATTAGAAATCAATAACACAAGGAAAATTGGAATATTCACAAACACGTGGAAATTAACACACCTGAATAACCAATGGGTTAAAGAAGAAATCAAAAGAAAATCAATATCTTGGTAAAAATGAAAATGGAAACCAAAACAATGGAATACAGCAAAAGTAGTTCTAAACGAGAAGTTTAAAGCAATAAACACCTATATTTAAAAAAAAAACCCACCCTAACTTTAGACCTTAAGAAACTAATAAAAGAAGACAAACTAATCTCAAAGTTAGCAGAAGGAAACAAGATGAGAGCAGAAATAAATGAAACATAGACTAGAAAACACAATTTTAAAAAATCAATGCAATTAAGAATTGATAGTATCTTCAGGAAATGGTGATTGAAAATGGACATGCACATGCAAAAGATTAAAACTGAATCCTTATCTTACACTATACATAAAAATCAACTCAAAATGAATTAAAGACTTAAATGTATGACCTGAGATCATAAAAGACCTAGAAGAAAATGGGAAAAGTTCCTTGACTTTGGTCTTGACAATGGTTTTTTGGATATGACACCCAAAAGCACAGGCAACAAAAGCAAAAGCAAACAAGTGGAACTATATCAAACTAAAACACTTCAGCACAATAAAACAAACAATCTATATGTATAAAAGGCTAAGTGTCTGTCTGTCCGACCAGTAGCTATGACACTCACTGACCATCAGGGGGCAGGCGCTCAACGAAGGAGCTGCCATGATGCGCACTGGCCATTTAAAAATAAATGACACCATGGACCTGGCGCCTACAAACCAACACTCGGCTTCCCCCAAGTGGGACACAGGCCCTGCCACCACCCCGGAGTGACACTCCACCAAATTGCAGCCAACACTGTCAAGACCCCATGGCGCAAAATGCAGCCCACAGCACAGCCCAGCCCAGAAACAGTGGCTGTGGACGCCAGGTAATGATGTCACGTAGCAACACCCGGCTTCCTCTCCCTAGCAACTAGCATCCTTGGAGTTTCTTCAGCCCAGGAACCCAATTTGCTTTATAGCCAGGTGCAAACATTTTACAGTTCAACCAAATGTTTGTGAAGTGTTTTCTTGTGCCTCATCTCATTTGATCCTCACAGAAGTCCTGGAGTAGGTAGATAGGAGACTCGGTAGAATCCTATTTTCTTTTCATTAGCAAGACACAAATAGTGATATTAAAATATTTCTTCTAATTAATTTCTTTTCAATGTGCACGAATCCGTGCACTGGTACACTAGTCAACAATATGAAAAGACACAACCTACAGAACATGAGAAAATATTTACAAATCATATGACTGATAAGAGGTTTATATTCAAAATTCGAAAACATATGAATAGCCAACAGGTATATGAAAAGCTGGATCTCTCAACTCCTGATTAAAAATCTTTCCGCCAGAGCCAGTTTGGCTCAGTGGATAGAGTGTAGACCTGCGGGCTGAAAGGTCCTGGGTTCAATTCCAATCAAGGGCATATGCCAGGTTGCAGGCTTGATCCCCAGTAGGGGTGTGCAGGAGAATCAATGATTCTCTGCCATCATTGAAGGTTCTCTCTCTCTCTCTCTCTCCCCTCTCCCTTCCTCTCTGAAATCAATAAAAATATTTTTTTTAAAATCTTTCATGGTCCCAAACCACCACAAGTAACATTGAAAGACAAATTAAAAACTGGAGAAAGGTGCTGTCATCAAATATACAATTAGCTCATACACATGACCAATAACAAAATCTGAGCTACTTACCAAAGAGAAAAGTGAGTAATGTCTATGAGAAAGCAAGTCATCAAAAATGAATGATAAATGGCTGGTAACCCACATGAAAATATGCTTAACTTTACTAGTAAGCAAAGAAATGTAAATTTAACAATCCCATTGTTTTTATTTATACAATACTGACAAATATTTACCAAATGTGCTTATATTTTCCCACAAGAAAAGATAGATAATGTGTACAAGGATATTCATTGCATCTTTGTTTGAACTGAAGAAAAATAGAAAACAACATAAATGTCCACCAAATGGATCAATTTAACATATTACATTTACTCTGAGATAAATATTGGATTATTAAAAAACAGATGTATAGCCGTAACCAGTTTGGCTCAGTGGATAGAGCGTCAGCCTGCGGACTGAAGGGTTCCAGGTTCGATTCCAGTCAAGGGCATGTACCTTGGTTGCGGGCACATCCCCAGTAGGAGGTGTGCAGGAGGCAGCTGATCGATGTTTCTCTCTCATCGATGTTTCTAACTCTCTATCTCTCCCCTTCCTCTCTGTAAAAAATAAAAAAATATATATTTAAAAAAAACACCAAAAAAAGATGTATATGTTTTGACATGAAAATTTTGCATATATATATTTATTAATTTTTTAAAAAGAACATAGACACACACAGACATATACACATGGCCAGGTATTATGTTAGGAATACGGACCATAATTTAGAGCAATGCCAATTATAAACCAGCCTGCCAAAAGACTTAAACTAAACCCTGACAAGAACCACAGGGAGACAAGAGTTTAAGGATGTGTACTTTGAGGTTTTCCCATATCTCTCCTAACAAATTGTTAAACCATGCCCATATAAGTTTAGGATGACTGACTACTAACTGACCTCCCCACAAAAACAAAACAAAACAACAACAACAACAAAACCCACAAAAATCAGTATTCTTCAGAGAATAGAATCCATAATCACTATAATGTACCAACTATAATGTCCAACATAAAATAAAAATTATTAGAAAAATGTGGCCCATAATCAGGGGGAAAAAAGGTAGTCGATAGAAACGAATCTAGAAAGGGCCCAGCTGTTGGAATTAACAAAGACTTTAAAGTACGTGTTATATTTAAATAATTTTAAAACATGTGACTTAATGAATGAACTTGGGGGATCTCAAGAGAAAAGTGGAAATTATAAAAAAGAACCAAATGAAAATTCTACACCTTAAAAATACAATAATAAATAAAAATTCATTGGATGGGCTTAATAACAGATTGGAAAAGGCAGAATTAGCTAGTAAATCTTAAGACAGATCAATAGAAGCAATGAAACATCAATAAGAGCAAAATAACTTCATACACAACAAAGACACTGGTGTAAAAGAATCAAAGCATATAAAACCAGTCAGCAATGACCTAATCAAATTTAAAATTGAGAGTTGAAACAATACTAATGCATTTGATCCATTATTTATTGCCTCGATGGCTCCACTTATTAAAGGATATCAACAATCTCTCACTTTTCCAAGTGACTGAATTTACATTCATTTTCTATCTTGGGAGTAACACACAGAGACTGTGTTAAACTAAACTACTTCTTTGCTGGAAAAGAAATCATAATAAATTCTGCTATCTAGTCATTGAATTTGATATTATAATCATATCCCTTTTCAAAGAGACTCAGAATTAATTACAGGGCATAAAAATACATTCCTAGTAAAAGCAATGTCATACCAAAGGGTACTAAAAACCCAGCTTTCATCTGGTCTTCAGAAAAATCTTTAAAATTACATAGCCCCAAGAGTAAACTACTTTTCTACAAGGTCAGAAGGTATAGTATACATAATTCAGACTGACCTATTCAAATATATAAGTTAATAAGCTTTTTCCTGTAAAAAGTTCACCTGTAAAAAGTACAAGTTCTGAGTGAAAGGAAATTATGTATTATGGTTTCAATTTTTTATACACTAACTGAATGAAAAAAAGGACATATTTTAAGTAGCTCTCGAGAATGCCAGCCACAGAGTTAATTATGCCTCAATAAAGCTTAACAAAGGAACCTAAATAAAAAAGAATTCTTTAGAAACATTAAAAATAACATTTAAAGTAGAAAAATTGATATAATGCGAGGAAGAAATTTTTGGTAGCTTAAGAAACACTCAATTCAGTCCAATATTTACAATTTTGACTGTATGCAAGATCTGTGAAAGGAACTAGAAATACAAGGATGAGTTAAAAATATTTTTTGCCTCCTAATAAGAGCTTACAAAGATCAGGAAAAAATATGAGGGCAAATGGCCATCAAGTAAATAAGTGCTAAAATATGA